TGGGGTTGGTTTGGGGTTGTTGGGGGGTTTTTGGTGGGGGGGTTTTTACACAGTGGCTGTCTTTATTTTCACGGAAGGAAGAGGATTCTTCTTGCTTGCTTTTGGAGGACTCTGGACGTGGTGGGTCACTTCCCCGAAGCTTCCCTTTCTCCTCCCTCCCCCCTCCCCCGATCTTTGCAAAAGAGAGACACTTGCAAAAATCAGGGTCTCCCCCCCAAAAAAAATGGGGGCCACGGCACGAACCCTCGTTTTGGAAGGGAATACCGGGAGATTGGAGGGAGGGGGAGGCTCAAAAAAGTGAATCTGACCCGGAGCGGGATGAGATGGGGGGGGTAAGGCAGCCGATCAGAAGGACTCAGTTGGGGGGGAGAGAGAGTGAGTAGTCGGTGGGGGGAAGCGGAGCCTCCTCGGAATGGCGAGCGGCCAACCCCGGAACGAAACGGACGAGGCGGCTGCGCTTCCGCAACCAATTGCAAACTCAATTTTGGGCGTCCCTGGTTCCGAAGCCGCTTCTGAGTTCGTTTGGTCCAGAAGCCGGTGTTTGCAATGCCCTGCGTGGATGCATGGAAACTTCTGCACAATCGATGCCGTGCGGGTCAATTGTGAATGGTCACAGAGGTGGTTTGAAATATCCAACACAAGGTGTTATCAATGTGGTTTCCTATACATATGTGGTAGTAAGCAAATTGTTGACCACATTTGAGGCAGCCTTTCTGAAGCCTCAAACCAACCAGAGGGCTATAGCATGTCTAAAGTCTCTGGAGGCATTAGATGAAAGTGAATGTAGTCTCTTTGATGCTGTTTGTGACAATGGCCACTCTTAGAGGAAACTGAAAACTTTGCAGAAGTGATGTAGTTGCCTTTCACATTAATTTGCCCCTGAACTGCAACAACGTGAGTTGAAATGACAACTGGTGAAATTTAGATTCATTGAAGGCCACAATGTGAAGTTTCTATATTTTCCTCTAATTTACTCAAAAGAAGTTCCATAGGAACTTTGAATGTTGTACTCTCTTTCTATTACATTTGTTGGTTCCCTTGAACGTTTGTGAATGTACTCACAATGAACTTTGTACACCAATATCCAGTGTAGCTGCTTTTTTTGGTAACTGGAAATTATAATTGAAGTTTACTGTATGTGAAAACGTCTTACCTAAGTGTGAGTTTGTACATATTAATATCTCATGCTGTGTCAATGGTAAATAGTAAAGAGTTATTAAACTCTTACTATTATTTGACAATACCATCATACAACAGACATCCACCAGTTTCCCCTATTATATGCTTGTAAATTATACGAAACATACACTCAAATATGCAAGGGAAACTGAACTCAGTAACACTGTAAGTTAGTGTGAAGAATCTGGAAGACTGCAGTCAGTGCTGGTCCCGACTTATCTTGCACTCTAGGCGAGGATCCCTTCTGGCGCCCCCCCGTGCGCCCACCATGGCTTGGACCCGTTAATTGGATCTGTACCCCAGACCTCCCGTTCTCCTAGCACCCATGCTCTTAACACTCACTTTTGCTTTTGTAACTTTGCCTGCTTTGCACATTTGGCTTCCACCAAGGAAGACTCTGCAAAGAAAGGCACTCGCAGTCACAAACAGCCTCTGCTTCTCACTTGCCTTGACAGTTCCTTGATGGGGTTGCCATAAGTCAGTTGCAACTTGAGTGTCCTTATGTAATAGCCCCCCCCAATTAGATTCTTCTTTGACTCAGCTGAGTGACCCTTCTGTGCCCAGAGGGCTAAGTTCTTTGGTGGAATTGGTGTTTGTATAATCAAAAAGATCATAACATGTTTAAAACTCAGTAGTGTTTGCAGCTGAACCAGGACAGTGGTGTGTGTGTGCCAGTTTGGCGCCCCTAAGGGCCGGCGCGCTCTAGGCGAGCACCTAGTTCGCCTAGTGAGTGAGCTGGCCCTGACTGCAGTGAAAGAATCAAGAAAATATCTTGTTGAGTACACGAGAAACTGCAAGTTAAAACACTTGTGACAGTAGCTGGCAACTGCAGAGTTCAGGGACTGTAGGACTACCTTTGATGACGTCACGACCTGGTGTTCAGGCTTTCCATATATAGGAGGTGGTGGAACTGTTCGCTGTTTGTGCTGGGGAACTAATAGCATATGCCAGAATCCTGCTGATCTAGATATTGTGTGATCATAGAGAGCAGCTTGTGGGTCAGCGCTTGCTATAAAGTGCTAACCTCTTCCACGTTTCTGCAGTCTACATAGCTCACTGCAGAGGCCCTCTGCTTCTAGAGTGCCATCATGGTTGCCCATTGTATGCTCTGCTGGACACTGGATCTCATCAGCACTTGGGTCTCATCAGCGCATGGGTTGCCTTTTGGTAACCATGCACCAACATAGACCGTGTGCAGTGTGGTAAATGTCACAGTAGTGATGTTTTGAAGGCGGACCTGGGTAACCCAAATCTATTAATCTTGAAACCTAATTATATCTTGTCTGTGCAAAGTGTTGTCTTACTGCATGCTGTGCATTTCAGAATTGCAAATCAGCTTTTTTTGGTATGTGATTAAGCTGATGGGGGAGGGGATTGTGCATGAACAGGCTCTGGCCTGTAGCTGAGTCATGTTCTAGAAGAGAAGTTTCCAGCACTGTTGTTTTAATGATTAAAATTCTTCCTTTCCCTCTATGTCAACCTCCTTTTAATGTGTGGGGGTTAGTAAATCTATGTTTAATTGTAACATTATCTAAGTTAGATTATTTTATTAAATATATCTCTGTTTCTTTTTGTTTTTCAGAAACAAGATACTGGTCAGGTCTTGTTGGATTTGACCTATGATCACTTAGGTGTGACAGAGAAGGAATATTTTGGTTTACAGCACTTCGAAGAGTCAGCAGATTCGCCCGTAAGGATAACTATTCATATTAAAAGTGTAGCTCTTTAAAATCTTTGGTCACTAGGCCGTCTAACATATTTCTGCTTTTGCAGAGATGGCTCGAATCCAACAAACCTGTACGAAAGCAGCTAAAAGGTAAGGCCTTAAAGTCTTTCTTCATCCTTGGAAACCTTTTAGGCCGAGGGGCAGGATAATAAATAAGATAAATAGTGAACTTAGTTGTAATGTGACTCTTATAAAATTGCTACAATGATCGGTGGTTAATACTGTTCTAACGAGTCGAAATATACTTATTTGCTGGGTCACTGCTTAGCCATAAAGACTACTAGGATCCCGCAAACAGTTCTGCAACACTGGAAAACGATGAAAGAGGCTGCAGTAAATCTTTGGGAATCCACTTCCCATGGTGATTTTAATGTTGCAGCCTTATTAATGCTTTTGGGGTATATTGCTGCACCCAGACGTTGCCCTTGTGGTGACCAAAAGTGCTTTTCATCACTGTTCCACGGCGAGAGCAGTTTTTATAATTCCTTTCTTCCAGGGCTTTTTTTGTAGAAAAAGCCCAGCAGGAACTCATTAGCATAATAGGCCACACCCAACAGCAGAAACTCATTAGCATACTATGCCACACCCCTGACAGGACATCTTATTTGCATATTAGGCCACACCCTGTGCCTTCCCTTGGCTTGCCCGGGTGCAAGAGCAAGCCAAGCTGGCCCTTGGGCAGGCCAGGGAAGGCACAGGGAGGCATTTAAATGCCTCCCTGATCCTTCCAGCCCCCCCCCCGCCTCAGAGTCACCAGGGGGGTCGCCCTCCAGGCCTTCCCTCTGTAGCCAGGCACGCAGAGGTTTTGGCTGTAGTGGGTGTGGCCAACTCTGAAGCCAGGCAAAACTCCATTCCTGTGCGTTCCTGCCCAAAAATAGCCCTGCTTTCTTCAGATTTAGATGGGGTAATCATAATCCTTCGGTCTGAAGAGAGATGAGTGTCCTATGTTCCATCTATGGACAGCTGGAAGATTCTTGAGATTATCTTGTATTCTGGGAGAACCTAGGAGTGATCATGATTGCGCTTCCGAATCCAAAACCGCATTATGTCCAAGGCATTATGTATTCGTGGGATTCCTTTAATTGTCAGCCTGTGATTGTTTTAAGTCAGAGTTAGGCCTGGGAGCGAACTAAAGGACAACATCAAGGAGATTAGTAACACCAGCATAGAAGTGGTTTCAGAGGGTGGTCATGTTGGTCTGCAGTAGAACAGCTAGGCAAGAGTCCGGTAGCATCTCCTAGATATGAGCTTTTGAGAGGCAAAGCTCCCTTTGGCAGGTGTCTGACAAAGGGAGCTTTGACTCTCAAAAGCTTATACCCTGAAAATCTGGTTGGTCTGTAGGGTGTTCCTGGACTCGTTCCAGAATTGAAGAGTCTTGATGCTCCAGTTTGGTGTCGTGGTTTGGAGTGCAGACTCTAATCTGGGAGAACTGTGTTTGATTCCCCCACTCCTCCACTTGCAGCTGCTGGTGTGACCTTGGGTCAGTCACAGCTCTCTCAGAGCTGTTCTCTCAGGAGCAATTCTTGAAAGAGCCAGGGGTCATTCTGTAGAAAAAGAAGTGCAGGAGCTCATTAACATAACTTATTATCATAACTTATTTGCATATGCCACACACCCTGACATCACCAGATGTGTGTCAGAAGGCAACACCCACCACTCAGGCTCCACTGGACTGTTTTGGATTGCTAGCTATCGGGGGGGGGGGGGGGAATGTGCGAAGCTGTGTGCAGATCTGTCCTCACAGTGGAGGGAGAGCTTGTACCTGAATAAAACTTGGTCTTAAAGGTGCCACTGGACTGTTTTGGATTGCTAGCTATGGGGGGGAGGCGGCAGATCTACCTTCACAGAGGACGGAGATTTTGTACCTGAAGGCAGGCCGGGGGGGTGTCTGCAACTTACCTGGCTTCTTCTTGCTCCTTGTGGCCCAACTGAGGGCTGCTGGGAGCAGGGGGCGGGGCTTGTTGCATGTGCCTGCCCCCTGGGCTCCTTACTGCCGGAGCTCCGCTCCTGTAGGAAATGACCCCTGGAAAGAGCCCTCAGAGGGTGTCCATTGTGGGGAAGGGAAGGAGATTGTAAAGCTGCTCTGAGACTCCTTTGGGTAGTGAAGGGCGGGATATAAATGCAATCTCTCCTCCTCCTCCCTCCTGACCTCTATGAAGGGTTCTGTACCAGGTTCCCTTGCTGACCTAAGCAAGAAAATATGCTGTCCAAGAAAGATGTTTAACTCTATTTAGTATTATGCTGCACAAGATGTTGCTCCTAGCTGGCTTCATCCGCCTCTCTTTTTGTCTTGCTTCATCCTGCCCTCCATTTAAAAGGAGCTGCATTTCATAATGAAAGTGTATTCTGTGATAAATGAATTGCAGACCCTGCTAAGTATTTGAATTCTTCCTATTGAAACAAAATCTGGTATTAGTGATGTGTTTTCCGTTTCAAGAAGAGGACGCCTCAGATTCTGTTTTCTTACTTAAAGGCACAGCAGCATGTGTTCAGCAAGTCTCTCAGAGAAAGAGAGAGAACCAACCTGATCTGGTGCCTTATGGTGTGGCATTTTTCCCCTCTAGAGCAGGGGTGTCAAACATAAGGCCCGGCGGCCGGATCCAGCCCGTAGGGGGGGGTGTGTGGGGGGGGGGGGGGGGGGGAGCCACTCCACTGTGGCTTCAGCGCAGCAGAACAACCTCATCTGCAGCAGTCAAGCATCGTGGGAGCACCTGCCCAGGGCTGCATGGCTGGCTCTCCAGTCCGCCCGTGTGGGTTTTCCTCTGCACCCTCCTCCCAGCCCAGGGGGCCTTGCAGTGAGGACACACCACCTTGGAGCTTACCAGCTGCTGCCCTTTATACAGTTTCTATCTCCGGTACCTGGCATTACGTTTTATGGCACCTGTGGCCCGGCCCGACAAAGTGACATTTATGTCAGATCCAGCCCTCGTAACAAATGAGTTTGGCACCTCTGCTCTAGAGCTTCTAAAAGATATATAAATGGAGAAGTAGATTGATTTAATCTTATTATACCTTGTAGGAGGTTTCCCTTGCAGCCTGCATTTTCGAGTAAGGTTTTTTATACCCGACCCTAACACACTGCAGCAGGAACAAACCAGGTAACTTTTTGTTCTCAAAATCCATAGCCACATTTTAAACTTCTGACATTCTGTTATCCTTGCATTCATAGGAAATACACCAGGACAGCTTCTTTTCCACATGCAGTTGGCATAAATTGATAGAATTTCATATTGGAAATAAATTATAAGGTAGAGCATCCCAGCAGAACAGGGTTAAGTATATGCCTAAACTGGTAAATACTGCCACAGCAGGTGCAAAATGGTTAATCTGGTGTAAATCTATCTAAGACCTGCTTTTAATCTTCTTTTTTTGTTTTTGCATATGTGTTACTCTAATGGTCTGGGAGTTAGGTTTGCAATGCCATGCAATCCTAGACAGAGTTACTCCAGTCTAATTCCATTGAAACCAAGGGGATTTGCACTGATAGTAAATTGAAGTCAGTGGGCTTAGACAAGTGTGGTTGTATTGAGAAATGTCCTCTTTATTCCCTCATTTCAGATAGAAGTACTAATTTATAAGCGTTCAGTGCACTGACCTATGTGGTCTTCATAACTGAACACTCATATGAGTATTGGGGGATAAAGTACCTCCTTCTCTCATGTTTATGTTTATGTCAGTATCATAAAATGGTTTAAAGTGGGAATGCTAAATATGTGACAATGTTTTCAAATTCTGATTTGTAGGCATTTATTCTTCTTGCAATTGAAGGCTGACATTTTGGAAGGAAGGTAAGAAATCCTTACTAAAGCAACTTTGATGTACTTGCTCAAGTGCTTAAGAACAGAAGAAACTGCTTTACTGCTCACTTGGGGGCAGAACCCTTTGAGACACGGGGGGTGCCCTTGTCAAAGCAGGAACAGCTGAGCTCCTGTAGGAATAGAATTTTTATATGGATATGCAAGACTAGTAGCTGGGCAGCCCAATGTTACCGCTGTATGAAATTGCAAGTTTCTTTCTGATGAGTAGGTGTAGTTATTAGAGTTGGATTCCAGTGCCTAAGGGACTGTGATTACCAGTACAACATTTTGTTGTATGATTGACTGCCTTGAGCCTTTGGAAAGGGCAGGATAAATATATTATAAATAACTAAACTACAAAGAATAAAAGGCACAATATTTTGGAATTCTGTCCAGTTCTGTGTTTATTTTTCACCTGTGGCAGTACTGGAATTGTATATGTAATCTTTATTGAATTTGTCTTATTCAAGATTGTTGATATGTTGGTTGTAGATCAACTCTGGATTACCTAAACTGGTACAACTGACTTTCTGCCATTTTTGTTTTCAGTACTAGGCAGAAACTTTCCACAAACGGAAATACTTTATTGCTTTCTAAAACAAACTCAAAACAAAAGAATTAATTTTTTAGAAGTCACACTTCATTGTACAGCTGTTTCAAGAAAATATGTTCGTGGTAGTTCCCTGTGATCTGCCTGAAATAATCTACAGGCCTGATACATGAGATATGAACTCAATAAATAGAAATGGTTTTTATGTGTTGGCTTATTATGATCATTGCCTTGTCATGTGCCTGGTAAAGAGGCAGCAGCTTTTTTCTTTAAAAAAAAAAACGAGCTTATTCTAATTTTCTGTGGTCTCTGTGCAGTCTGACATACAAGACTTCCATGTTGGTGCAGAAGGCAGCCTGGGAAAATTCTGGCCCAAAAATTACTGCTTAGATCCCTTGCCTGAGAGCCAAACTGTACAAAACGTGTGACATAAACTGGGTTGGGGGTCAATTGTAACGTCAGGGAGCTAAAGTTCCCAAATATTTGGGGTCCCAATTTGGCTCAGGAGTGTATCACCAGGGGTGGGGAGGCTTAAGCCTGTCTTCTCATGCTGTTTTCCTGAGCCAAAACAGCTTTTGGGGGCCCTGTTTGCCATGCTTTGAGGCACCTCATGCTGCAATCTGTACACAGGGAGTCCCACAGCAGGGCAAACAGGCCACTATACAGCCTTTTCGGCTCATGAAAATGGTGCAGGAGGGAAAGCTGAAGCCTCTTCTCCCCCTGCACGACTCTTCCAAGCTGAACTGAGCCCCAGAATGCTCGGGAACATCTCGTAAGGGAGGGATGAACACCTTCCCCTCCTGCTTTCTTCTGAGTCTCACACGACAAGTAGCTCTGGGATGCAGTGCCCTGGTAACAGTGTTATGCCTCCCTTGAACAGACGATGTAAGCATGGGTGCTCTGAGTGGGGCGGTGGGGGCGGCAGAGTGGCACACTAATGGGCCCTAAGCCTGGAGCATCTCAGCAGAATATTTCTCTATGAGGGCTCTTTGTCCTGTCTGCTGCAGACAGAAACACCACGTCAGTGGTCTCGCAGCAGGGGAGGACATTGGGGATCCTAGTCTCACACTGTATCTTTTGAGGGAGCTGATTGCAATGGGAGGAAGGAAGTGTGCGGAAGAAGGATTTGCCCCTTGCATAGAGATCTGCACAGAGGCATAGTAGCCTTTCTCAGGGAGGGCCTTTGAGCACCAGTTTTTACGCTAGAACTCTAGAACTTCCCAGAGTTGCCTTTTGTACAAGCACAGAACCCATGTGAAACTTTTCAGGACTGCTCAGAGAACACCAGTTGCACATATGCAAACTGTGGGGCTTGGAGGATGATATGTAAATGCTATCTAAACTTATTTTCTAAGCTTATATTAAAATATTATACATTAACCTCAGCAAGGAATGTTCATGCACTGTGTTGTCATTTGGCATATACTAGTTCAGACAGAATTCCTGCCTTTGCTTTCAGGTTGATGTGCCCTGTTAATTCAGCTGTTGTCCTTGCATCGTATGCTGTTCAGTGTAAGTAGTAACATTTGTTACTGCCAGCAAAATATTTGGATTGTATGTGAAGGTTGCAGATGTTTTGGCTCATATTGACTGGTCCCCCAGCCATTTCCTGAATGAGTCAGGTGGTATACTGCTTGTGAAAGCTGTATTGAAATTCAATATTGGTATGGGATCTTTAAGCAGGGAGCCTTTTAAATAGATTATTATGAGGATGTTTTGCAAACAGGATGCTCTCTAAAGAGCTTTGGTTCTGTCAGTGAGAAATACACCGTAATGTGTGCTTGACCTTCTTTTTGAAATTCCCGTGCGATCTTGTTATCCTTTGGCAGATTTGTATAGAACAGAAACTTCAGTGCTGTTTCTGTGTCATATTATCGGGTTAGTAAGAATGGAGGAGGGTCTGTGGCTCAGAGGTGGATCATCTGCTTGGCATGCAGCAGGTCCCAGGGTCAATCACCACCTTGTGGGCCCAGGGGCATAGAGGGGAGTGCAGGCAGGGAGAAAACCACCATACACAATGGTTTTGAAAACAAAAGGCCATAGCTTTATTGAATACACTGCAGGAGCATTGGTGCATCATGGGGACTGATCCAGAATCTGGCAATCTGCCTGCCGCCCCCTCCCCCACAAAAAAACTCCTCAAGGAGGTCCCCAGAAACACGGGGCATGGGCATGCTGGCACCATATCCCCAGCCAAAAGGATCTGCCCCAATTCCCAAATCGCCCATAGCTGTGATGATAAAATTAAACAAGTAATGAAAACTGTATCAACCGAAATGCAGGGAGGGTGGGTGGAAAAGCCGCTGCCGAAGAAACTGGGACAAGGTCAAGGAGGTGGTGAACTTCAATAGAAGAGTGGTGAGCGGGCGCAGCCCCCAGGAACGCCTGCAGCCCAGACCTTACCTGATTCAGCCCATGACACTAGGGGCTGTCCATCCCACCTCTGCAGGACTCCTCCCAATGCTGGACCATGCGGCTAGCCGGATGCAGCCTGCATGGCTGCCCGATGCTCCTGCCAAGCCCCGAAGCCCACAGAGGTGGTGACGGGGTAAGCCCCATACGCGTCATCGCCACAAAAGGATCAGGTAGTAGCCAATGTGAAAGGCCTCTGCCTGGAGTCCTGGAGGGGCACTGCCCATCTGAGTAGCTAATACTGACCTTGATGGACGGATGGTCTCATTCAGTCTGAGGCAAGGGGCAGGGGCTGTGGCTCAGAGGTAGGACATCTGCTTGGCATGCAGAAGTCCCAGGTTCAATTGCCACCATCTTTACAAAAGGATCAGGTACTAGCTGATGTGAAAGACCTCTGCCTGAGACCCTGGAGAGGCACTGCTAGTCTGAGTAGATAATACTGACCTTGATGGACAGATGGTCTCCTCCAGTATAAGGCTGCTTTATATGTGTTCTTTGGGAGGGGCTGTGACTCAGGAGTAGAACATCCGCTTGACATGCAGAAGATCCCAGCTTCAGTCCCTGGCATCTCCGGCTAAAAGGATCAGACAAAAGACCTCTACTTGAGATTCTAGAGAGCCACTGCCAGTCTGAGTAGACGATACCAATCTTGGTGGATCAGTGGCCTTATGCAATATAAGGCAGCTTCATGTGTTCGTGTTTACCCTTGCTTGTGGTGCCACAGGCTGCTGCAGTTGCTCCTTAGATGTGTTACGGTCTCTCTGGTATGGCTTCCCATTTTCCCACCAGTGTCTGTGTTTTCCCCCCATAATGAATTGTTTAAAGAGCTACCGTAACCTCTTGTGTCAGTTATGGCTTACCAGAAATAAGCGAAGGGAGTAAATCGTCCTGACCCTTAACCTCTAGAATTAGCATTAGCGAACTGGGTACTGCATACATCAGAGGTGCAGTTCAAAGGAAAGCTCAGAGCGGTGGCAGTGGGAAAAGGAGGAGGGGTGGGCAGGATGCTGGGGTGCCCCATATGGATCCCTTCTGTAGGTGATGAAGGCCGTAGCCTGCTGGACTGCTTTGCTCCAGCAGCTGTGACTGGGAGAGGGTCAGGTGGGAAATTCATAGATAGAGCCTTTCCCACTTTATCTGTGTGAGCTGTGTGAACGAATGAAATTCAGGATCTGGTTCTCATATTAGGATGCATTTTTCTTCTTCTTTGTTCTCTTCTCTCCCCTGCCTCTGAGACCTTCTGTGTGTAAAAACTGGGACCGATTTCCCCAGCCACGCGGCGGCATTTTGACCCACGGCTTTGCCCGATTTTGTCCGCGGTTTCATAATCCTCAAAAAACAGGATCACGAAACCACGGGGGAAATTGGGGAAAGCCGTGGGTCAAAATACGGCCCTGCGGCTTCGAGTGGGAAATTGACATGTACCATCGGGGCAAAGAGAGGAGCGAGCGCAGAGCAGCGGCTGTGGGAAATCGGTCTGGGATTTTTAATGACTGCAACTGAGGGATCCTGGCGATAGTGGAGATGAGAAAATGTGACCATGTCTTCCCTTGTGGAATGAATTAGATTTAGGTTTTTTTAAACAATAAAAGGCAATCAGACTAGACTTTTATTGCCACTGGTTTCCATTTTAGAGAGGATAAAATTATGCCTTCTATCGAATTGCTGAGAACTGCAAAATAAAATCCTTGATACTTTCATTGCATTCTTCCCCTGGGATGTTCCCATCCTACCCAGCCTCTGTTGTAGGTTAAGCTGAGAACATGTGACTTGCCCAAGGTTACCCAGTAAGATTCAGGAGTGAGCAGAGATTTGAATTCTGTCTCCCTATTCCGGATCCAGCCTTCAAACCGGTTCACCCCACCAGCTCTCTACTGTGTAATTAAAATTTTGCAAAAATCCTTTCTGCTCACTCTGAAACAAAGTTATTAGCCAGAAAGCTTCATGCAGTAAATAGCGTAAGAACTGGTGTGTGTGTGTGTGTGTCAAATACTCAGTCTTCAGTCAAGCTGTTCTGTAAGCGGCAATGCCTTCCATTTGTCCTTTGTTTTAAATGATTTTCTTTTTTTCTCATTAGCACTGTCCATTGATGTTACCTATATTTTGTTAACTGTACAGCTGATGTAACTCAGATTCATTTGCCAGCCATTCCAGTGCTCCAGAATGAATGTGGCAGCTTCCCTTCTAAATTAAGTTGCGGTGTCATGTGAGAGATTTGCCATTTGCCTTGTTTGGGAAGGGTTAATGTTTGACAAATTTTATTCAAGTTAATGTTTAACTGCTTAGTAGTTTATCTGAACTTGCCAGCAAGATCTAATCGACTTGCTACCAAAGCTGGCTTCAAAGGCATGTATCTGCACGTTTCTTTATAATGGTTGCCACCGATGCAGGCAGTAGGTTTCCTTGTGTCCAGGCACAGCCAGTTTGCTGTAGTGGTTAGGAGTATGGACTCTGAGCTGGGAGAACCAGATTTGATTCTCCACTCCTCCACGTGCAGCTGCTGGTGTGACCTTGGGTCAGTTACAAGTCCTTTCAGAGCTGTTCTCTCAAAGGCAGGAGAGCTCTCTCAGCCCCACCCACCTCACAGGGTAGGGTGTCTGTTGTGGGGAGGGGAAGGGAAAGGAAAGGAGACTGTAAGCCACTCTGAGACTCCTTCGGGTAGTGAAGTGCAGGGTATAAATCCAATCTTTTCTCTCTCTCACTAGTGAGCATGATTCCAAATTTTTGGGTTGCAGAACTAGCTGTCTCCCAGTTTGCAATTTGAAAAATATTGAGTGGAGGAAATGGTTTTGTGTGCTTAATCAGAACATTTTATGGCCCTTTGCTTGGTGAGAACAGTCCTGTCTCACAACACCAGCTGCTTTTGAGACTCTTTAAAGCTGATTCTGGTGTGGAGGAGTTGCCGCTTGGCGCTTGGGGCAAGTTTAAAATGCAGGAAATCCCTCGTCTGTGCATTCAAGTGACGGGTTTGAGACTGTGTAGGGTAGCGGTTAAGAGTGTTGGACTAGGATCCGAGAGAGACAGGTTTGAATTCCAGATGGTGCCATGGAAGCTCCCTGGGTGACCTTGGGTCAGTCACTCTCAGCCTAACCTACCTCACAGGGTTGTTGTGGGGATAAAATGGAGGTGAGGAGAATGATGTAAGCCACTTTGGGTTCCCACTGGGGAGAAAGGTGAGGCATAAATGAATTTTAAAAATAAATAATTTAATAAACTGTAACTGATAGTTAGGGAAATATACCCCCCCCCGGGTCTGGGAAAGATGGCAGCATGGTGGTGGTGGTGGTGGTGGGAATACAAAAGCAGGATGAACAGAGGTCATGAGATGCTCTCCGAAACAGCACTGCTCTTTCGATGCTAAGTCAGAGCAGAACATATGTGCGGAAACAGGCCTGGGGGGAATGAGCACTAGAAGGTGGGTCCATCTGCCCAGTGCTGCTTTGACCTGCCCCTTCTCCCCATCACGCAACTGCTGTGGCCCATCCCTACCTCACAAAAAGAGGAAGGCATCTCTGCCAGAAGGAAGGGCTTATAGTAGTTGGTTGTTAGTTCTGTGTTCCTCATAACTTGAGGGCAAATGTTCATGCTCCTTGTTATTTATTCTTTGAGTAATCAGCCGGTTGTGGAGACCAGGGAATTACTAGGCATACAAAAGAAGTAAAAAGTCATGCAGTGAGATAACCCTTATAGTGACTGGTCAGTCTGTGGTCCTTAACATTAAGCTATATATGAATTGTTGTTCTCTGTGTTGATTTTTTCCATTTTCAACAAGAAAAGCAATCTTTCACAAGAGGATCATAAGTTCTGTTTCAGCGTTTAAACTTAATATTTGCATTAGGTTAAGATTTCATTTTGATCTGATTATTTTTAAGGGATTAATTTTGGTTAAAAGTTTAGAAACTACTTAAATTTCCCTTGTTCATCTTTTTAAAATAATTGAATTTTATTCTCTGTGTTCTTCTCTAGTTATGCTATCCTGCATTGATTTGATTTCCACATGGCTCCCTGACTGCTCCATTAACTCAGTATCTAGGTGTCCAAAATAAACAGCTGGATGCTCTTTTGAAATGCAGGAGCAGCAGATTAAACTGTGTGTTTAATTCTTATTGATGTGGCCCCTTTGGTTTTGTTTTTACATGGTAATTTTATGGAAGGATTACATTTATTACACTGAAGTGGCTGAAAGGATAAAGAAGCTAAACCATTGAGCATGTGGGTAAATGTCAGGGAAAGAACACAGATAGTACAAATGATATTCAGGAAATAGCTGTTCTTTGCTCAGTTCTTTCCAGGAAGACTCTGAGCAATTTCCTATCTAGTGCTGGAGGCACAGCAGCTCTGAACGGCTCTCTGCCGGCACCTGAAGGCTGCTTGTCCGGAGAGAAGGAGGCTTTGATATTGCCCAGCCGTGGCGACTGATACATTGGAAATGGGAGGGAGCAGAAGTAGTTAAGAGTTCTAAAATGTTGTGAGCCCCGCAGCAACATCTTCTGGTGGTCCCCGGCCCCTCTCAACTAGGGGGAATGAGCTCCCATGTGAGATCAGGGCCCTGCGGGACCGTTTACATTTCCGCAGGGACTGCAAGACGGAGTTCTTTCGCCAGGCTTTTAGTTAGGGTGGCGGAATGTTGTTATATTTTATTGGCAGTTTAAATGTTTTATGAACATAAGAACATAAGAGAAGCCTAAGCCGAGAGGGTGTGGCTTAATGAGTGGTCCCCCGAGTGAGCCTCATGGCAGTGTGAGGATATGAACCTGGGTCTTCCAGATCTTAGCTCAACACTCTGAACACCATACCACACTGGCATTCTGCCAGTCCTTCTCATCTCAGGGCAGTGCTGCCTTTACTTATTTCTTAGAATAATAGAATCACAGAGTTAGAAGGGGCCATACAGGCCAACCCCCTGTTCAATGCAGGATCAGCCTAGAGCATCCCTGACAACTGTTTGTCCAGTCACTGCTTAAAGACTGCCAGGGCGGGGGAGCTCACCACTCCCCGAGGCAGCTGATTGCACTGTTGCACAACGCTCAGTGTAAATGTTTTTCCTAAGATCGAGCTAGTACCTTCCCGCCCTTAATTTAAACCCATTATTATGAGTCCTATCCTCTGCTGCCAACAGGAACAGCTAGAGATGTAAAATTTCAGGAAATTTTGAAGCTTGGGAAAAAATGGAGATTTTCGGAAAAATTGAAAAAAATGCTACATTAGCATTTCTTTTGTCTTTTCTAGATTGAAAGTCATTCTGTTACTTTAGGAACATAAAATATGACTATGGACATTTTTACTTGGCATGAAATTATCACAACTAGCATATTAAAAATATAGTGTATCCAAACAATTATTACAAACAGAATACCCACCCACATGCAAAAACAAAACTGAAACTTTTTTATTTTCTTCTGACAATCGCACCTCCTAAAGGAAGAAATGCATCTTGTTCTTGCATTGGAGAGTTCAGTTTGTAACCTAGGACTTGCTTGTCCTCAGTGCACAGAAATTAGATCAATCTGATACCATATATATATAGTTTAGAAATGATTTGGAAAATATTTGAACACCTTGTCTTAAAATATTTTATTCATCATGTTAAAATAAAACGTTCCATAATCAAATTTTTTTCCTTTTCTTTTCTTTTTTCAATCTTTCCAATTTTTCGGAAAAAAACAAAAAAGGATATAAATGCAATAAATAAATAAATAAGCAAGCCATTTTGAGGGCTTTAGGGTCAAAACGTGGGATGCAAGTCAAATAAGTTCTAGGAAGTAGGTTGAAGAAAGAGCTTCTCCAGATCCTGCCTTTGACAGGCAAGCCGACTTTTGACCTTGACCACCATGGCTGGGGCTCTGGCAGCGTGAAGCCCTCCTCTCTTGCGTGGAGTAGTCAAAATGAAGGAGCAGTTGTTCTGCACTATGTGGCATGGCTCCTGCACTGTCCTCTACTTTCATCTTTGTGGTATGTCATGCCTGAGACCGTTTTTTGTTTGCGGTGTTTTTTCCAGTTCTGTAAACCTAGTCCTACTGTATTGTTTGTTGGAGGTCTTTGCTCTTTGGTTGAACTGAACTGGACACGTTTCAGCAGATTCTGGCCATGTGTGTTATCATAACAAATTTATGATAACATGATAGAGGTGGTAGCAATTGTAGTTAGTACTGTAGTAATTTATAGTTTGCTTGCCTCGCAGAGCCATGTTAGAACACATCTTTGCTTGTCTCGCTGAAGATGGAATAGGACAAGTGTTATGAACCATTTACTCAACTTGTTCTATGGATTTACAGAAACGTAAATCCGATATGTGTATTTATGTAGTTACATTTACTGAGATGTGCAATTTGTACAGTATATATACAAATAAGTTGCATTTTAGATTTTGTAATCCAGTTTGTATTCCAGTGAGAAAGGTGAGCTATAAATGAAGTTGGTAATAAATGAATTGTCATTTATGGTATCCCTGGCAGGCATTCTCAAACAACCTGTTGGGTGGAGGTGAAGCAGGAATTTTCATAGCAGTTAAGAGCATTAGTCAATGCTTTGCAAAATACCTTTCTTACACTGCAAAGGCAACTGTATCTTTTTATTGTGTTCTTTTCTTCCCCGCTAAAAGCTCAGTTTGGAGACTACAATTCTTTCATCCATCTCCCAGGATATCTCTCAGACTACCGCTTTGTACCCGAGCAAAATAAAGATTTTCTAGCCAAAGTAGAATCATTACACGAACAACACAGGTAATTGCAGTTTTGCATCCTCAATTACCTTTCCCCTCTACCTCGTTATTCAAGAGTATACAGAGTATACAGCTACGTCGCATGCTGCTTTTTGCTTTTTCTAAGCTAAGGAGACAGCTGGCTTCTCCGGCAAAGGGAGCTTTGACTTTGTCAAAGCTTGGCCTCTCATAATACCCCAAAGCTTGGCCTCTCATAATACCCCAAAGCTTGGCCTCTCATAATACCCCAAGAATCTTGTCGATCTCTAAGCTGCTACTGGACTGGAATCCAGCTGTTCCTGAGAGCAGAGGACAGTGTGGGTAAAGCTACAGGGCAGCCCTTTCTCCAGGGGTCTGCTTTCACCCTCTGGCGCTTCTTTCCATTGCCGGTACTGGAGAGGAGCCAGTTGAAGAAATTTACTCCACTACACATTATGACGGGAAAGATGGGAAATGACTCAGACTGATTTTGCACAAGGAGCTGCGCCGCTGTCGCGCCTCCCTTTGCCCCGTTTCCATTGGTCAATTTCCCACTCGAAGCTGCACGGCTGCATTTTGACCCATGGCTTCGCCCGATTTCCCCCGTGGTTTTGTGATCCTCCAAAAACAGGATCACAAAACCTTGGGGGAAATCGGGCGAAGCCACAGGTCAAAATGCGGCTGTGCAGCTTCGAGTGGGAAATTGACCAATGGAAATGGGGCAAAGGGAGGTGTGACGGCGGCACAGCTCCTTGTGCGAAATCAGCCTCATTTAGTCAGAATGTCTTCCTATCTCTGCCGAATGTCTCAGGAAAGGGGGGAATATTATATATGAGGGGGACAAAGGTTGATCTGGTATGATAGGAGTATGAGCGAATCACTTTTGAAATTCATATTTCATGATTTTAATGTGAAAAGGGATCTGATCTTTTTTTTAATCTATACTTAGAATGTATTTGGATAATGATATTCAGAAAACTTCCCTCATAGATGAATGATTTCTCCATGATGTTAATATTTTATTGCAGTAATATTTTATTGACTTCCCCCCCCAGTGGCCTCAAAAAATCAGAAGCAGAGTCCTGCTACATCAACATAGCACGAACGCTTGAATTCTACGGAGTAGAATTACACAGTGGTAGAGTATGTTTACTATGTCGCTTTACATTTAGAGTATTTTTAAGATGGCTCTGTTGCTGGGAATGGGGACTATAAATCCAGGGTTCTGAAATGACAACTTCTAGACAAAGCCAGAATAATTACTATCTGCTCTTAATTGAGGGCTTGAGTTATTGTTTTGTGCCTTTTTTTGGCATGTTAATAATCTTGGTATGGCAAAAAGCAGGGCTTTTTTGTAGAAAAAGCCCAGCAGGAACTCATTAGCATACCCGACAGCAGAAACTCATTAGCATATTAGGCCACACCCCTAACAGCACCACTCATTAGCCTATTAGGCCGCACCCACATGTTACCAGAAGTGTGGTCATTCAGCCACACCCACCTTTTGCTTCTTATTCTGTTTACCTTGTTTGTTGTCAAAACCCAGAGCTTTTTTTGTAGCAGGAACTTCTTTGCATGTTAGGCCACACACCCCTAATGTAGCCAATCCTAATGAGTTTCTGCTGTTGGGTGTGGTCTATTATGCTAATAAGTTCCTTCTGGGCGTGGCGAACTCAGGAGCCAGCCGGAACTCCGTTCCTGTGCGTTCCTGCCCAAAAATAGCCCTGGCAAAAAGTATTCCCATCCACAGTGAAAGTTGGCTGCTTCATTCCAGGAATGTGGCAGTATGCTGTGTTGTTGAAATCTTAGTTTGTGTACTGCATGCCACTTCAGAATGTATTCGATTCTGCTATTAAAAGCAATACATGAAAGCCGTGTGAGCAATATAAGAAGAGAGTTTTCTACAGAATTATTATAGTAAACAATTTTGCATATATATCTTTATTGACTTTTCATTATTTTTGTCACCGATGTTTTGTTTGGATTTCCGAAATTCAATACAAACTGGGTTGGGGTTTTCTTTGGTAGTCCGTAAGCTGCCTTGGGTGCCACAGGGAGAAATGCAGCCTAAAATGCTTAAATAAATAAAATACCTACTTTAGGTTTGCCCTACTGCCTATATAGTCTCAGTGAGAAAAAAATGGGGTGAATAGTAGACTATCTGCCCCTGCTACCAGATTTCAGGCTGTTTTTGAAAGTCTGCCAGGGGTGCAGGTACCATATTTCTTCCCAGCACTGTCTCTGAGCGATTCTGCATTGGCTTTTCCCTCTGTTGTTTTACCAAAGGTGCAGCTCAAAACCACATTCAGATACCCCGGGGCAATGCTGTACTGACTGTGAAGTCCCCCCGAACGGCCATAAATCTATGCAGAAGGTACCAGAGAAAGTGAAAGTGGCATGCAGTGTAGAGGGTACCATAAAATCTGATGATCAAAGAAAGTGGAAGTGCAATGCAGAGGGGGAATTTCTGTTCCAACCTGGGTTTGCTAAAACAACGGAGGGAAAAGCCAGTGCAGAATCACCCTCTCTTGGAGTGCTCAAAGCAGAAGGTGGGAGTTTCCACATCAGCCACTTTCCCCCCAGTGCTTTGCACCAGTTCGTGCAGCTGCTGTTCCTGAAGCACAAGGCCAAACTCTCTCTCGACCTCCGGAGCTAGTTACACAGTCATCTGGATTCGGGCCATGGTAAATTGTATTGTAACTAGTATAGCACCCTGTGATACAATGAGTTGTAATTATTTTTTATTTCCTTCAATTAAGTGTTGCTGTTTCGTTTTTCTCCTTGCTGGGGACTCAAAGCAGCCAACAGAGAAACAGGAAGATATAATTCTGTCAACCAAACAAGAGAAATGCAGGGTAACTCCTGAGCTGTTTCTGGATCCACTGGGCTGACTCACTTGGCTGCAGGGTGTGAGCTGTGGGCTAAGAGCCAAAGGCCAAGAGTCTTTTGGCTTTGCCCCTCTTCTCTGTGGCCATGCCAAGGCTAGATAACTGTAACAGGAAGGGAAACAGAAGCTCATCTCAAACCTTGTTCAACTTTTCCCCATAGAAATCTGGTGTGTGTGTTGATTTGTTCTGGAGAAACGAGGTCTATTGCAGTTTAGGTTGTTGTTGAGGGTTGCGGCAGTGATTACAACCAGGGGTCGTTTCGTAGAAAAAGAGCTAGGGGAACTCATTAGCATAACTCATTAGCATATGCCACACCCCCTGACATCACCGGAAGTGTGTCATAAGGCCACACCCCCTGACATCACCGGAGGTGTGTCATAAGGCCACACACCCCGCCCCCAACGGTCCCGACCGCCGCCGCCGGCCTTGCAGCTCCACTGCTGAGCCCCATGAGGGGCCCGGCGCTGGACCTGCAAGGCCGGCGGGAGTGCGAGGAAGCCCTGCGAAGGCCCTCCCTGGCCCCAGGCAGGAAGGGGTGGGGAGAGGCAGGGAGGAAGCAACTTACCCTCCCTCTTCTCCTGTCTCCTCCTGGCTGAATGAGGGCCGGAAGCGGGGCGGCCGGAAGCAGGGGGCGGGGCTTCGTCATGTGCCCCGCCCCCCGTACCTCACCCGGGGGAAATGCGATCCCCCCGAAATGACCTCTGATTACAACTCATTGTATTGGAGTATGCTACACTATTTAAAATGTGGAATTGACTAGCAGAGGAAGTACTGATGGCCACAGGCATAGACAGCTTTAAAAGAGGATTAGACAAGTTCATGAAGGAGAGGTCTATGAGTGGCTACTAGCCACTAAAGGGAACCTCCACATTCATAGGCAGTAAACCTCTGAATCCCAGAGCCAGGATGCAACATCAGGGGAGAGCCTCAGCCTCCATGCCCTATTGTTGGCCCTCCAGAGGAACTGGTTGGCCACTCTGTGAGACAGGATGCTGGACTAGATGGGACCACTGCTCTGATCCAACAGGGCTCTACGGATGTTCTTAGTGATAAAAGTGAGCAGGACTCAGGGTAGACAGGTCTCAGCAATATCCATCACCCTATTCAAGCCATATCATCACAGTGTTCAGAGTTACAGATAAATATCTACTTTGCTCACTGTTCAGGGTCAGAACTTGTTACTGGTTTCTGGTAACTGCAGCATCAGGGTACCCTGTTTTCTCCTCACCTCGTCAGCTTTCTCCATGGCTGCCTATATAAACCGATGGAAGTAAATCTATAGCATCATCTGTTCTTATTTTGCTTTCCCTGCTCATAGTGTGAATATTCACCAAGAAGGCAGGAGAATGTTCTGCGTGGGCACTGATGCATAACCAGTAGATGAGCCGCGTGAGGATGCATGACCTCCGAATTTAAAATAAGAGGCCGAAGGGGGACAGACGGGGCAGAGGATTGCCTCTCCCTCTAGCCATTGCTCTTAATAAAGCAAGATGGTGGGATCTGATGACTTGTACTGGACTCCTGTACATTTTTGGAGGCAGCTCCTTGACTTTATCATGCCATTCCTGCAGTTGGGTACATTCTCCTTCTCACTGACATTTTATTGTTCATTATCCCTTGTGGTGGTCCTGCATTGCCAACTGAAAAGCAATGCACACAAGAACTCCATGATCTCCTTAGCTGTACATTTTAAAAATTTATTTCGTTTATACCCTGTCTCTTCTCCCCAGTGGGGATCCAAAGAGGCTTATATAATTCTTCTCTCCATTTTATCCTTACAAAAGCCCTGTGAGGTAGATCAGGATGACTGTGTATCTGGCCCGAGGTCACCCAGCAAGCCTCCATGGCAGTGTGGGTATTCAAGCCTGGGTCTCCAAATCCTAGTCCAGTGGTCTCCAACATGGTGCCTGCCCTTTCCTGGCACCCCACAAGTGCTGCTAGAAAGTAGGCGGGGCCAGGTTGGGCACTTGCCCAGCAGGGCTTCTGATTGGCCACTGGAGATCTGATTGGCTGGCCCTGAATTGATAATGTTTCAACGGCAGCTGCCACTGCTCCTCTTTTCAAGTGTATTTTTCAAAATACATACCCCCCCCCCCAGCATTTGGGCTTCCTCGGTGTGTGTGGCTCTGCTCCTGCAGCACCCCTTTTGTGATTGGCTGCACCTCCCATGGCAGCCACTTTGTGGTTGCACCCACCAACCCTGTGTCAGAATTCCAAAGATACTAACAGGCTTAAAAAGGTTGTGGACCCGTGTCCTACTCTGACTGACTGCTGCACCACACTGGTTCTCATTTCTCACAGGACGCTGCTGTACTGGTCACCTTTGTGTTATGCTTCCACAGAATATAGAAACTGTTACGTTCTGCTGTCCGGGAGACTTCCATTTCTTCATTGCCCTTATACAGAGAAATTTCTACATTGCCCTTATATAGAGAAATTAGCAATAAGGATCACTTCGGAAATTGTCCCCCTCTTATTTTGTCCCAGGATTTTAGAATTCTGAATTGCCAGAACACTGACGTCTGAATCTGTTCATAAGTAATTAACAATGAGGATTCTGAGTGTACAAATCAAGAAGAGCTACAGACTGTCTAAGAACCATAGAATCATAGAGTTGGAAGGGGCCCTACAGACCATCTAGTCCAACCCCCTGCCCAATGCAGGACCAGCCTAGAGCATCCCTGACAAATATTTGTCCAGCCTCTTCTTGAAAGCTATCAGTGAAGGGGAGTTAACCACCTCTCTAGGTGGAGGAGGGAGGAAAGCCATTACACTAAACTAAGATGCAAACCAGATAAGATACAGTCAGATCTTCCCGGAGGCCTTTTTTCCCCAAAAAGGGGAGGGGGCACAGACAGGAATCAGATAAGATGGAAGGTTACAGTGTGAGGGGGAGGGTGGCTAACTCTTCCCTCTGCATGAATTGATCTCCCCCCCCCCCCCCGATGTTGTTGTCCCTGGTAAGGGAAAGACAAAATGAGCAGTGGTGGCATCAGTCTAGGAGGGGAAAGGGGGGTGGTCTTTTCAGTCCCCACATTGTGGCCCAGTCCTGTTTCTCCTTAAAGTCTGCTTGGAAGAGCTGTTCACTGACTTTCCACTGTCACATCTGGAACAAAAATGGAGCAGAACTGGGAGGGGGAAGGGAATCCATTCATTGTTAATTCATATTCACTTTTCCCCCTTCTGCCATTTAGAAGGTCTTAGTTCTGCATCTTCCCAACTTACCAGTTTCTTCTGTGGTGTGTTCTTATTTCTAGGATCTGCATAATCTGGACCTGATGATTGGGATTGCTTCAGGGGGTATTGCTGTATATAGAAAACTTATTTGCACAAGCTTCTATCCATGGTAAAATAATTTTGTAATTCATATATGAATAGAGTTTTCTGTATCTTCTGAACTTGAAAATAATCCTTTGTTTTTGGCAGCGACCTCAGCAGTTTTGGTTTGGCTGCCATTTTCAGAATATCTGAGACTCACGGGTTTCTGTGTCACTCCATCACTGATGC